TACTCAAATTTAATTATACTGGCAAAGTAGTCTTCATAAATTGTTTAAAAATGAAGGCTGAGCAAAAATGAGGGACAAGCAGAGAAAGGTTAATATCTGAGAAGAGCAAATCTTTTTGATGATACATAGACATCAAGATCAGTCTGTCTGCTGTGTAAAAAGCTATGTCAGAAATTAGTGCTTTTTTATTTCAAGGCTTGTTAGTGCTAGTAGTTGGTCAGATCACAGCTTTCAAGCATCTATTGATATTTGAAGTGGCTGAGAAATAAATGAGCAATCTAAGATAAATTATCAAGATGCAGAATAGCCTAAAAAGAGAAACAGGGTCCCTGCTTACCTCTCTTATTTTAAATCCACCTGCATAACCTCACTGCAAAATAGAGTTATAAAAGATTTTATCTAGTTAAAGGAAAGCAATTCAACATGCAACACTAACTAATATACCAGATTACATTTCATTATTCTGGCAAAAGCAGCTTTAGAATACTGCTTAAAAAATGGGAAGGCAGGTAAAAAATAACTTGATAGTTGAGGACACTGAGAAATCAGCATCATTCCTATGCTTAAAGAATACAGAGTGTGAGGTTCATTCATTCATTCATGCAAAAAATATTCACTGAGCACTTGCTGTTTCCTAGTCTTGTTTTGGCAATTATGATTACAACAGTAACATCTCTCCTCACAGAGTATATACTACATTGGAGGAACAGTCATATAAAAGAAAAATATACTATATTAATGATTAACGCTGAGGAGAAAAGCTATAGCAGAGAAGGGGGTGGGTGTGTGTTTGGGCATGTTGAGGTAGGGAGGTAGAGAGGCTGGCGAGAGCTTCATTGAGAAGAGAGCTTTTATGCAAAGACCTGATGGAAGTAAGGAGTATTCATATCAGAGAATATTACAGAAAAAGGGAGATGGGGAAGCAAATGCTCCAGGGCAGCAATGTGGCAGGTGTGTGCCAGGAATAGCCAGGAGGTCAGTGCGGCTGGAGCAGTGCGCAAGAAAGTGAGAGTCCTAGGAGAGGGGCTAGGAGAGATGAGCAAGTAGGACAGAGGGACAGGCAGGTCCTGCAGTCCTTAGGAAACAAGAAACAAGAGAACGGTGATCTTCACCGTGATGGAGATCAGAAGCCAGTGGAAGATTCTAAATTGCAAGGTGATGTCTTCTGACTTTGGGCTGCCAGGAAGCTGAGTGAGGAACAGAGGGTGGAAGGAACACAGGTAGCAGGAGGAAAGGGCCTCTCTTAAGTAAAAATGTCTGGTGGGAAATGTTATATCTTTGGAAAAGTGCCTTGTCATCTCCAGCTCCCACCCCTTTCCCTTCTCTTCTTTTTCCTTTTCCATATTCTTTCTTAAGTTTGCCAGCTAAGCTCTGCTCCATTTTAGCATTTCATCTGTTTCTGTTTATCTATATTTCCATTTGTTTCTGCCATTCATCTTCTAATTTTCACTTGCGAAATAAGATATAAGGTAAGATGTAATGTGATGGAAGACATACAAGGTGAGAGAAAGAAACAGCCAGATGTAGGTTCACTTGTTTTTTTATTCACATCTGGTGTCCCTTCATCAAATAATCATTTAAAATATAATTATTCTTTTCAGATAATAAAACATTATATGCCTAGTTTTATAAATTCAAAATATACAGAGGATAAGGATGAAGATATAATTCAACTATAATATGATGGATATTAAATTCCTTCCTTCCTTTGTGGGCAGGTTCTGTTCATATTCTTATTGGCTTTTTTCTTTCTGAGATTGTGCTTAATTTTACTGAATTGAAAGGTATGATAGGAATATTTGCCTTTCATATTTTTTGTAAATATTTCCCCAGCTTATTTGTCTGCGTTGATAGTTAAGTATTTTTGCACAGATTTTTGTAGTCAATTCTATTCCTTTGCAGTATTTTCTACTATTTATTATTTTGGGGAGCACTGAGAATGATTTCATTTTAAAATATTCTAGAACTTAATTCATGCATCAGTAGAAAAAAGAAAGAAGGGGAACAAGCAAAGCAAGTATGAGCACAGAAGCCCGAGATTAGACTGAAGACAGTTTGATGTAAACACAAGGACAACAGCACTTCAGTGTGGGTATCCTTTGACCCATCCTGCTGTCAGTCTCCATCATTCTTCCTTCCCTCTCTCCCCTGAAATATCTGCCAAAATAAATGGCTTCTCTGCCATTATTGCAGGTGTAAGCTGACCCAGAGGTACCCCTTTGGGATATAATACAGAGCCCAGAAGAAAGTTTATCAATCTTACTTCAGAGTGAAGCCAGCATATTGGTTATAATCTGTGTCATGTCAACTGCCAGGATCCTAACCCTAATCATTTTAGCGTTAGCACCTGCAGCCAGGCATTTCTATGTGCCCGGCAGTGAGTGAAGGCTCGAAGTTCTCAGTGTGAGGTACTAATTCATCAATGTGGCAGAATGCACTTTCTTACTCCTAAAAATTCTAAGTTGCCACAGAAAAAGGGAGAACTTTAGCCCTAGAAACCTAGACAATAGGGAAAATAAGGATCCTTAATTTATTACAAACTCTCCCAAATCAGTACAATAAAAACAAATGCCCCATGAGGAACATACTTTAGAGTGTACCCTGAGTGACTCTTTCGATCTCTCTCTGTTGGGGGAGAGAGATGAACAGAGAGAATGGCAGAACGTCAAAGCGTGTGACAGGCTTGGGGAGGCACCTCGCCATGACATTCATGTTCACAGAGGAGCCTGAGTATACACATAAATGTTGTATAAATATAAAACCATGTCAAATCTAAACAAAGAATTTCATTAAACACAATAGATTCGAACACACGAACTGTGGCAAATAAGTTCAAAGAGTATTTCAATATGCCCTTCCATCATCAACCAGGTTCCTTTCTTTTCCAGGGTATTTTCCAATGTGCTGAGCTCAGCATAATTCCCGACAGAGAGACCAACAGGCGGCTTTCGCCATTAGTTTCAACACCTAGCTCCCATCCACGCCTCCTTTCATTTCAACATGCAGGCAGGCAGCTAAGTGGCTGTCTAGTTGCTCCTTGGTCAGCACAGGGGAGCAGGGGAGTTTTCTAATGCCAGGCCCTAGTTCTCTTCTCCCAGGGTTTCTACAGCCTCAGATACCACTTCTTCCTAAGCTCTTTCAGAGAGCTAGGGTTTATCCACATCACAGTGACGTGCCAGCCAGGGCTCTCATGACGCGACCCCTGTACAGTTTTCCTTCCAGGAGAAAGGGAAGGTTTAAACCTGCTATTGCTCCCTGCCTGCCTCCTGTGGGACGTGCTCCTAGCCCGGCATTGTTCTAAGCTCTGCCAAAGTTCCAGGACTGCCCAGCAGGTCCTATATTCTGGCACCAGATCTCAGTTTTTGCTGCATAAGTCAGATGGTCACTGGTATTAGCTTTTTGTTCTTTATCATATTAAGTAAGTATTCATTTACAGACACCCTGGGGATACTTTTTAGCACAGCTTCCAGTGCTGACTAGGCCACCATCTTCAAGTCCCATGAACCAAAGAAAAGAAGGATGCCAGAGCTGTGCCTGGTGGACCAAGGACAAGTTCATTATGACTTTATAACTTAAACTATTGAATTATTTATTCCTTAAATTGGCCGCTTAGTGGGTGGTCAGTTAAATGCTTTATAGGAAGGTTGCTAGGTTAGTTGAGAGGATGGCTGTTTGCTTGCAGAGCCAGACTGCCTCGCCCAGACTCTCCTTGCCTTCCACTCCCCCACGCCCGAAGCGTCCTTCATCAGCTCAGGCTCAGAGTCCTTTCCCAATTACTTTTACCTTAGAGAAAATTTCCCCAATCCTAGGTATTTCTTTGATATTCAGAATTTCATTGTTCCAATTAAATTTTCAGGATTAGGGTAATGAACATCCCCAGATCATTTTGTTTATATACAGAACCCAAATATTCTTCAATAATTTTTCCTTTTTTACTTTATCAATTGTAAAAGGGGAAGGAAAAGGGGGAAAGTGAGAAATAAAATAGTTACTCTGGCTAAAAAGGAAGGAGTGTGTGTGTGTGTGTGTGTGTGTGTGTGTGTGTGTGTGTGTGTGTGTAAGAGAGCAAGTGTGGTGTGCTTTAGTGTTTATCTTGTTCAACTCTATTCAAAGATTTCCTTCATTTAAGGGAAAATACACTGAACTGGGAATCACAAGACCTGATTCCACATTCCTGCAGTCCTGTTTTTATCGCTAAATGAGAGCTGGGCCAATACATTTAAGGGAAAATACACTGAACTGGGAATCACAAGACCTGATTCCACATTCCTGCAGTCCTGTTTTTATCGCTAAATGAGAGCTGGGCCAATCACATGGCTTGTGGGTCTCAGTTTCTGCCTCTGAATTCTCACCTGCACCTGGCACCTGAGTCTGTGGAATGCTGTGGTGCTCTAATGGTGTGTTCTACAACAAAGCAGGAGCACCAGGAGGTTTCTGTAGGTGCCCAACAATTACTATGCTGTATCATGACTTTTCATTAGCATGTATTTGTGTCCAATTCTGGTCTCATCCCACTGACTGTAATCCCACTACTACCTTCCTAATATGCAGGCTAGCTCAACATGAATCCTCTTTTTATCTCTATCTTTTATTTGGGATAGAAGCTGTCTGGTTAGAGTGCCCTGAATTTATTGTCTGCAGCAGAGTAACTACTCTGGTGGAAATTTAGGTCACACACATGTTCCAAGCCAAAGGGGATTCATGGGAGAGAAGCACTTGGGTCTCTGAGGAACTGATGCCCTCCTTTCAGACCCACATTTCACAAGGTGACCACTTCCATGTCTATCATGTACTAAGCGAATCCTATCCTGGGGAATACATGTACATTAATAACTTTCACAAGAACAAATATGAAATGATGTCCCATTTCAATAAATTATGAACTGTGGAAGCAAAGTATATTGATTTGACCCAGATTTCAAAATAAATGGAGGCTATGCAGATAAAACATATATACATATGTGTGTGTGTGTATATACATATATATGAATAATACTTACTGTATTGACAATTTCTTCCCATGAATTCACCTGGGCACTCACAGGAATAGTTAGCAACAAGGTCTGTACATATTCCACCATTTTTGCAAGGCTCAGCTTCACATTCATTTATATCTGAGGAAAACAGAAAGAACAGAGGAAGTGAACTATTAGTTAGAAAAATTATTAGTTATTGGAGAGTTTTAGGCATTTCAAATAAAACAGTATAAGTAATGCTATTATGTCATGTGTGCCTATATGTGTGTCTAGAGTCAATAATACAAATGCTGCTTAAAATGAACAACTTATTAGCGATCAAATTAAATCAAGTGGAAATGGAATTGAGAATCCAAATGAAAGACCAAGGAACTATACCACTCTGCAATCCTGAAAATAAATATGAATAGTTTGGGGAAATATTCAGTGTATCCTTAGAATTAAATCTAACAAATTAACTCTGATAGCAAGATGAATTGGTATCACATAAAGGATCTAGAAACCTCCCCTGCAGCAGCAACTGCCAATTAACACTGTCTCATTTCATCTTAATTCATTAAAATTCTAACTGACAGAGATGTTTTAGTTTCTAAATAGTTCGCCTTTGATGAATGCGATGAGAAGCAAATTAGAGTTAATAGCTAAAGCTCGTTACATGTAAAGTATAATAAATGTAAATGATGATCACTTCCTAATCTCATTCAAGGGTTTCTAAAGTTAGGATGACTAAAGGGACTTACCTTCGATACACCATTATTATACCTGCTGCAAAATCATACGAAATATAAAACATCCAGCAAATTATACTAATTTCCATGCTAATTTTGGACAACACAGGCAACAAATATGATTTCGAATGAAGCAAGAAATAATGACTAATTCAGTCAAATATCACTCACTGAAATGTATGCGTCATTTCCTCTAAGCACAACATTACGGCTCCCCATCACTCTCTCTTCCTATCACCTACTCCAACTGAACTCCCTCTGCTCTTGATCACACAACTCCTTGCAGACCTTAGTGGTGTTACTTAGAAACTGCGTATTTACACACCTTTCGCCCTCCAGGCAACCTGGGAGCTTTACAACGATTAGACATATTGATGCAGACAATCTAAAAAACATTTCAGATGTATACTGCGCCTTCCGAGACACTATAATATATCAAAGGTATTCTGGATTTTCACACAGCTTAAAGCAATATGATCAAAAAATTACCTCCTCAAGACCAAACAAAGACAAAATCTAGAAGACCTCCATTTTACCCTTTCTTTTAACTTTTTTCTTCTAAATGGCATCTTGTGCAAGCAGAGTTAGTCACACTCTCATTCTAAGTTTACTACAAAGGTTGGTCTATATTTCCTTAGGTGGGTGATGACTTTCTGTGAAAAAGCCACCCTTTTTTGGTTTCTAGTTGACTGTATAGCTTGAGAATGGATTCAGGATTGTGCTTAGGAAGAATGTAAATGATTTGAATATTTTATAACATCAAATAACTGGATAAAATCAGAATCTGATAATTTCTAACAATAGGTCCATGCTATATACAGTATAATAGACTCCCAAATATTTGACACTGCAGTAAAAAAAGGAAGGAAGGAAGGGAGGAAGGAAAAAAGGAAGCAAAGAAAAAAGGAAGAATAAATGAACAAATAGAGGGAAAGGAAGAAAGAAACTGTCACATGTTCATTTTTCTTATCTGATGAAATATTTAGCTCCTCTCAGTCTTGTAAAATTTCATTTGGTCTTTATTTATATTGGACTCACATGCCAAATATGTTCATTAAATATTGAAAGTGGCACAAAAATCACTGTGTCATCTGATTGTTGCCAGCTCAATATAAGACAATGGCAATGTTTGGCTACTTTGTGACATGCCTACATGTCACATGTCTTTCCTGTACCATATCTCCTAAAGTTTGTTTGGATAAGAATACATCAATGGCTGACAAGAAGTTAAATCTTCCCCTGAATAGCCAAAGCAATCCTGAGAAGGAAGAAAAAGCATGGGGGATTATGTGCCCCAACTTCAAGCTCTACTACAAAGTCACAGTAATCAAGACAATTTGGTACTGGCCCAAGAAAAGACCCATAGACCAATGGAACAGAATAGAAAGCCCAGATATAAACCCAAGCATATATGGTCAATTAATATATGATAAAGGAGCCATACAATGGGGAAATGACAACCTCTTCAACAGATGGTGCTGGCAAAACTGGACAGCTACATGCAAGAGAATGAAACTAGATTATTGTCTAACCCCATACACAAAAGTAAAAATAAATGAATCAAAGACCTGAATGTAAGTCATGAAATCATAAAACTCTTAGAAGAAAACATAGGCAAAAATCTCTTGAATATAAACATGAGCAACTTTTTCCTGAATGCATCTCCTCGGGCAAGGGAAACAGAATAAAAAATGAACAAATGGGACTACATCATGCTAAAAAGCTTCTGTACAGCAAAGGACACCATCAGCAGAACAAAAAGGCATCCTACAGTATGGGAGAATATATTTGTAAATGACATATCTGACAAGGGGTTAACATCCAAAATATATAAAGAGCTCACATGCCTCAACACACAAAAAGCAAATAACCCTATTAAAAAATGGGCAAAGGATATGAATAGACACTACTCCAAAGAAGAAATTCAGATGGCCAACAGGCACATGAAATGATGCACCACATCGCTAATTATCAGGGAAATGCAAATTAAAACCACCATGAGATATCACCTCACACCAGTCAGGATGGCCAAAGTAGAAAAGACTAGGAACTACAAATGCTGGCACGGATGCAGAGAAAGGGCAACCCTCCTACACTGCTGGTGGGAATGCAAACAAGTTAAACCATTGTGGAAAGCTGTATGGGGGTTCCTCAAAAAACTAAAAATAGAAATACCATTTGACCCAGGAATTTCATTCCTAGGAATTTACCCAAAGAATACAACTTCTCAGATTCAAAAAGACACATGCACCCCTATATTTATCGCAGCACTGTTTACAATAGCCAAGAAATGGAAGCAACCTAAGTGTCCATCAGTAGATGAATGGATAAAGAAGATGTGGTACATATACACAATGGAATATTATTCAGCCATAAGAAGAAAACAAACCCTACCATTTGCAACAACATGGATGGAGCTAGAGGATATTATGCTCAGTGAAATAAGCCAGGTGGAGAAAGACAAGTACCAAATGATTTAACTCATCTGTGGTGAATAAGAACAAAGCAAAAACTGAAGGAACAAAACAGCAGCAGATTCACAGAACCCTAGAATGGACTAACAGTTGCCAAAGGGAAAGGGACTTGGTAGGGAGAGGGATGGGAAGGGAGGGAGAAGGGGAATAAAGGGCATTATGATTAGCACACATAATGTAGTGGGGGTCACGGGAAAGGCAGTATAGCACAGAGAAGACAAGTAGCGATTCTATAGCATCTTACTACACTTGTGGACAGTGACGGTAATGGGATATGTGGTGCAGACTTGATAATGGGGGGTATCTAGTAACCACAATGTTGCCCATGTGATTTTATATTAATTATACCAAATAGAAAAATATATTTAAAAAAGGAAAAGAAAGTTACTCACTTAGAAATAAAGAAAAATCCTTGTTATACATCAAACAGCTTTTAAGTGTACCAATTAACCTGGCATGTTTCCTAAGGCAACAATCAGAGGTACTGACAGAGGTAAAGCTATGAGGATGCTTATCAGAGCAATATTTAAACTAAACTGATGTAAAACAGAAACAAACTGTGTTCTCAAACTAGTAACTTGGTTTAAAAAAAAGAGCTCGCTCATATAATGGAATTCTATGTGATTATAAAAAAAATGTAGTATAGTGTAGTGTGACATTTCAAATTCAACATGTCCAAAATACATGCAATTCTCTCTAACCAAATCTTCTCCGATCATTCACAAATGGAAAAATGTTTCTACAACCATGAGATACTACCAGAAATCTCAAAATGGTCCTTTATAACCCTCCCTCCCTTATTTTTCATCTCCCACACCCAATACTGCAGCAGATCTTTGGCAGCAAGGCACTCCCTCCCTCCAAGACACAACCAAGATTCCTCCGCTTATCTCTACCACCCCCACCCTAGTCTAAGACACTGTGACTTCTTCCCTGGAAACTACAATGTAGACTCTTATCAATACCTTCTTGGCACTGCAATCTGGATAATCATTTTGAAGATGTAATTCAGACCACACCCACTCCTGTGCTTAAAGATATTTCTGATCCGCCATTGGCATCGCACACAATCCCAAACAAAGCATTCAGTAATGTGTAATGCAGCAGTCCTTGCCTGGCACCTCAAGTCCATCTACACTATGTGCCATTTTGCTCTCTGCACTCCAGGAAGTGTTGATGATTCTTCCTCAAATCTTCGTGTATGCAGCTACCTGTGCCTGGAATCCTTCCCTCCCACGTGTCACTCCTTTCTACCAAGGAACTGCTTCCTTATCCTTGACCTTCCACTTTAAATCCTGCTTTGTCAGGAAATTTCCATGCTCTGTGATAGGGATTAGGCCTCCAATTTGTTCTTTCTTTTAACAGCCTATAACCCTGCACTCAGACTCACTATTGCTTGTACATTTTCTGAATAAAATACCAGTTAAGCTTAAAAAAAAGTTAAATCTTCATGTCTTAGAGGATGTACTGCCTTCTTTTGTAAAGTCAGACACAATGAGCTATATATACTTACAGAGAAGAAACAGTATTGATGTCTGAAGGCCACGTAAGGGAAATATAGCTTGCTTGGTCTTGGACTGGAAGGAAATGTTTAATAAGGCAGGATGGAGATAGTGATGGATTTCCCCGCAGGAACCAGAATAAGACATAAATTCAAAGAGGAGTGTTTATGGCATGACCGAGTGTTCAGGCACACAGACAGCCTGGCTGCCCTGAGCACAGTGGGAAAGGAGTCCGAAGCCTCTGACTCCGAGAATGCAGACAGGGGCCAGATGGTGAGGAGCCCTCGGAGCCGCTGAGGGGGCTGGCCATTGTCTTCAGGCTCTGAAGACTTGGAGCCAGGTGGGAGGGTACCCTCTATGCTCTTTAGAAAGACCTAGTGAACCATATGTGGGATGGATTTAAGAGATGAATGAAGGAGGGCTGGTCTCTCTTT